GACCAAACCAAACGGAGCAAAGAAATAGAAGAGATCTCTCAAATTTTCAACCTAAATCAGTCGAAAATGACCCAAAGCAAGGAAGGAACCCATGAAAAAGGAAAAATGAAAGCCCTAAATTTGGGACCAAACCGAACGGAGCAAAGAAATAGAATAGCAAACAAATGGAGGAAAAATGCATATAATCCTAAAATTTACAGCCAAATGAAACTAATAAAACATAAACATTGAGAGGAAAAGGTGAGAAATGAAGGATTCTAAAGAGCACAAAGGAACCAAAGAGAAGCACAGTGAAACAGAAGAAGAAGGAACCGAAGGGAAAAATAAAAACAAAAAGAAACAAAGAAAAAGCACAAACGAAGGAAAAGGAAACGGGAAAAAATGACACTGAAAAGACCAAAAGGCCCCTGCAGCAGACGAAGGAAGGAGCAGTAAATCGGGGGCAAAAGTGTCATTTCACTGTAGAAAGAACAGTAAACTGAGTCTTGATGAGCAGTAAACCCCCAACTCTCTTTCAGATTATTTATAATGTGAAATCAACTGGAAAAAAGAGTTTAAGGGACAAAAGCAAAACGAAGAAAAGGCTGAAAAAAGTCAAAATAGAAAACAATGGAGCATCTTTAAAGGGGAAAAAAATATTTTGGTTAGTCAAGTCAAATCTATCCAAAACTAATTAGATATAGATATGAAAAGGAAAAAATATTAAATAAAAATATATTTAAAAAATTAATTTTACTGCAGAGTAGTAAAAAATATTTATAATAAATACATAAGTAAAAAGGTAAAAAAAAAAAAAAAAAAAAAAAAAAAGAGAGTAATCAAACAAGAAAAATAACACGTCAAAGTTAGGGTAGAAAAAAAAATAAAAACTTCGTTCATTTCACCGATTCGAATTTTTAATTTTAAGTTTTACAGTTCTCAGAAAATATCACATCTAATTTTTTCTATTACAGTAAAAAGCTCTCAAAAAATATCACATCTCAGCTCGAATTGAAAACTCAAATCTGCGAAGTGAACGAGATCAAAGTAGTGACGTAAAAAAATGAACAGTAAAGGAGAGGATAAATGGCAGACCTTTCCAGCCAAAAAAAAAAAAAGAAAATGGCAGACTTGTAATAAATTTGGAAAAGAATAATTCTTTTTGCAAGTTAATTTTTTCCAAGAGAAAAAAGTGCAATACGTGTCAGACATAGAAATAGAGAGTGTTTAAGGTCCCATTTTTTTCGCTGATTCGAGTTTAGAATTTGAGTTTTGTTACAGTAAAAAGCTCTCAGAAACAATCACATCTAACTTTTTTATTACAGTAAAAAACTCTCACACAACATTACATCTCAACTCGAATTAACGAACCGAACGGGCTCTAAGAGAGCGCATAAGCAACTGTTGTTTATTTTCATAATTCTCTGTTGAAGTATTTATCTTGTTTCAATGTGCTCTCAATTTTTTAAAATTATTCATTACCAAAATCTATAAAAAAAAATGGTGTAAAATACTCTCTATGTATAATTCTGTCTATAATTTTAACATATTTATTGACGTCGCACTAGGATTGTAATATTAAAATCATTAAAACATTAAAAATTATAAAAAGATATAATAACAAAAAATACAAAAATGTTTATGGACCATGCCCCAGTGTTGCCTCTCGCGATTCTCAGGCCGATGGAACACCCCCGCTTAGTTTCAGTACAAGAAAAGAAGGGAAGGGAAAAGAAGTGACGATATATTTGAGGAACCTCTTGGCTTCTGGTTTCTTTTTTTTTTCCTGAAAGTAGGTCTTTTTTTGTTTTCTTTAACCAAAGTTGGTATTTTATTAGTACCAGTGATACTAATAATATCATTTTGTTGTTAGTTTTGGACCCATATAGAAATAGAACCGACCTTTTTTTTTCCTCTTAGCTTTCAAGTATTGTGGGGATGTGAAATACTTTCCGGCAAAAATCAAGATGACGACTTTCAGTGGATTAGGTCTTGGTTTGAGTCTAGGTTTTAGGTGTTTTGGCACTTGTTCCCCAGCTTTACTATTGCTATGGTGGAAGAAGAAGAGCATCGTAGAGTGGTCAGAGATTGAAGAAGACGAGTATGGAAACTTGGCAAATGAGCTCTTCCACTTCATTTTCTGGAAGTGCAACGCCTCCAACAACAACAAAAACGACACAACTCATAAAAGGAAACTAGACCCAGATGAGGAAGCCCAGAAATTGGGCTGTTCCGTTTTCAAAAAAAAAAAAAGAAAGGAGAAAACAACTCCATAAAACAAATGAAGAAAAATATAGAAAATCCCTCTCTCTATGTCAAATTAAGATCCAAACCAGCCTTCACAGCGTATCATATCTTTGAGGCATTTCATCGAATAGCTTCCTCGCACTCTCTCAATTTTTTTCGGAGTCTTGAAATATTTTTTAGGCATTAAGGTCATGTTCATTTTACCGATTTAAATTTAAAATTTAAGTTTTATTACAATAAAAATTTTCATAAACAGTCACATTTAACGTTTTTATTATAGTAAAATTTTTTTACATAAAATCACATTTTAACTTAAATTAAAAACTCAAATCAACGAACTAAACGGTCTTAAGTTTATCTCAACCTCCCAACTCCGCCCACCACTCAACCTACAAGATCTGCTCCCATCCACCTGCAACCGACTTGGATCTCTCCGGGAAATCCTCCTCGGTGTCCTCGAAACACAAGGCTCCGCCAGTACGATCTCACCCACACCACAAGCTCTCCGCCGCGTTGTCCCCTCGAGAACAAACGCCGGCAAGCCACTCATCGCCGCAGTCACACAAAGCCAAATCTGATGACCACTTCTAGAGGGTGAGGTTTTGAAACAGGTTCGTTGAGAGAGAATAAGAGGAGAGACAGATAGTTTTTTTTTTTTTTGAAATAAGTTTGTATATTGTTATTTTAAAATATTTTAATATATTTTATTAGAATTTTATATTTTTAGGGTTGAGATATGATTTTATGTGAGAGTTTTTTACTGTAGTAAAAAAGATAGTGATTATTTCTAAGAGCTTTTTACTGTAGCAAAACTCGAATTCTAAACTCAAATTGTGAAATGAACGGGGTCTTAATTAATATTTTACGTTGACATGTTAGCAAATCTGTTAGTGTTATAGATGGAATTAGACGGAAGGGAGATTTTAAACTATTTTCTATAGATTGGGGTATAATGATTTTAAAAAAATCAAGTTACATTTTAAAATAAGATACATACTTTAGGAGGGATTATTTTCATAATCCTACGAAAAATAACATGGCTGTCCTTTTACCGAGCCAAAACGAGGGAAGGGAGAACAAGGATAAAAATTTGCATGTTGTACTTTGCTTACAATAACAAGTTGACTATAAATACAGTCGGTTTATGTAAGTTGTCTCATCTTTTTGTTTTTGTTTTCAAGATCTTTTCTGATACGTCAACATACGAGTAGGTTGGATTTTTTGTCAATCAGATCTGAATAAAATCACACAAAAGTCAAAATTATGTAGATTCAACCGTTAGTAAAACCTAACATACCGGTATACCAAACGTATCAAAGAATCTCCCTTCGTTTTTTAAGAAAGGGGCTAACTTGGAATTTCATTCCACTAAATTATGCAACTAGGCTAATAAGTTTCTACGTTTAGAGTTTGTTTTATAATTTGGAAACAGACAACAAATAAGTGTATTGGGCTAATTGTGTCCAATTTTTTTTTTCCTCCGAATCTTCTTATGAAAATATAGAAATAGAGAAATTTTGACGTCTCATTATTTATTTCTTTTCTAATTTTATATCTCATTCATAATTAAATCATTTCACACAACTCTTAAAAAGAAAATTGTAGAACTTACCATCAGGAATGTATAAATCTATATTTTTTTCTTTTACTCTTAATTAAACTCGTTTGTTAATATAATTATTTGACTAAAAAGGTATTAATAAAAAATAAATGGTTAAAATTCAGATTTGTACACTTTTAAGGGTTATTTGTAAAAGGAAAAAAAATGGACGTTCAAGGAGCAACATAAAGAATAAGTTTAGGCCTTTACCATTACAGCGGTTGGACCAATTGATTCTTTTTATAAACGCTAAGTAAAGGCGTGAGGACACTAACGATACCTTTTTTTGATAAAAAATAATAATAATAATAATAAAAAGGAGCCACATAAAGAAACACAAGTTTTATGCACTTCTTAGACAGGCATTTTCTCTAGTACTTCCTTTTCTAGTGCCGAATTTTGAACTCAAAACTCAACAAATGTAGTCCGAGAAAACAGCAAACAAACATGAGAGGAATCAGACGCAGCATTGCTGAATATATAATTTTTGGGAACAACAAACTAATGTGATGAAGATGCAAAGTCATTCCTCAATGCCCATTGAGCTTAGAGCAGTTCACAAGGAACCAATCCTGCCCTTAACCGATCGGATCCAACAAAACCACACCTCCAGTAACCAAAACCACCAATAACTAAATGGAACCGAGCCAACCAAGGTTATACAGGTTCAGTCACGGTTTAGAGGTTTGGATGTTCGGTTATAACCAAATGGAACCGAATGTATTAAAGCTAAATTATCTCTCCCTTCTTTGATTCTCTTAGCTGTCACGGTGTCACCGTCTTGCCTTGTCGGTGTCAGCGTTGTCGTTCCCTCTCCCTTCTTCATCCCTCACAATCGACGGAAATTCAGCTCATCTCGCTGTTAAAGTCGTTTCCATTGTTCACTCAAAACCACGGTAACCGAAACCGAACCAGCGATTGCTGGGCAATTCGGTCACAGTTACGTCTTGTGCTGAAACCCAACCACCGGTTCGGGGGGAGGGGTTTGTGGGAAGAACCGACCGGATTGTTTTCCCCGTGAATTGAGCTAGACGGGCGAGTCAAAAGATTCAGCTTACTCCCCGTCCAACCTTGTTTTCCCCTCACATGAAATACAGTAGGAAATACAACACTTTGAGCACGGAAGACGTTCACAACTACCTCAAAAAAACAAAAAGAAAAACATGTTCCCAACTTAATCAAAACAAGAATCAAATACTCGCAAAAATACACACATACACAGGCACCAAAAAGTTGATACGGTAAGTAACCGAAATACTTTGTCAAGTGCAAATTTACATGTACTACCACACACTACTACATAGATGAAAGTTTACAACACATATTTTGAGACTCGCAGAAAATTCTTTACAAGAAGGTTTATGCTGCCAAAATAACTTAGAAAACAACCTAAAATACATTGCCAAATTACCAGTTACGTAAGACCCTTTCCTCTATAGATACTTCAAATCATTAAAACATAAAACTATATTCAGTTGCATAACACAACCACCATGAACAACTCTTCTCTTCTTCCTCCTCGTAGGACAAGCTCTTTTCCTATCGGCATGTCCTATCATATTTTTTGCAGAAAATGAGGAAACTTTTGCCGCCACCTCTAACCGCCTTGCTTGGCACTAACTTCCGAAACATCGACCGGCAATTTCGACCATGCCACGGGTTCCTGACTCCCAAACGTAAACCTCCTGCGCAGCACGATAGAAAGGCTCAACACCAAGAGCACGGCAGCAATCAAAGGGATCAAAAGGCCGCCACCCCGCTGCGGCCATCGCCCCAAAACAAGGCCCGCGCAATCGGAGCCGTCAAGACTGCCCATCGAGTTATTCAGCTTCATGATCTCAACCCCATTGAGAATGCCATCTATGGCGTACGCCATGCTCTTGTTGGAAGGCCCAACGCTTACACTCAGAAAATCAGAGTCACTCTGATCAACCACAAAATCAGCATAAAATGGAGAACTCAGCATCCAACCTGTAACCTCAGAGAGATCCAAGTCTTTATACGCCAAATTCCCATTGACATAAACGTTGAAGAACAGCAATTCAAGGGAAATACTAGCAATATCACAGAAATGCATCCTCACAAGGTACTTGTACCCTTTAGTAACAGAAAATCCCCATGTGATGTTGACATTGGAGATTGAAGAATTGTGACTGCGAATCAATCGCGCGCTTTTGTACACATTATCAGGACCGATTTCGCGGCTGGCGCCTCCGGTTTGGTACTTGATTCGGCCGCCGAAATACAGTCTTTCGGATCCAAAACTCGATCGGAGATGCTCGTCGTCAGGAAGCCATGTCCTCCACAGAGTATCGTTGAACGGCGTCACTTTAGGACCTCCGACGTTGAGTCTATAGACGACTTCAAGTGCCTGATTCTTCAATCCATCAAAATTCTCAACTTTCTGAGAATCAACAAACTGAGCAGTCTCCGGAACGAGGTCTTTGGGCGCCGAAATGACTTCGATCGCGTTGACGAACGCGAATTTCGAAGTTCCAGAAGGTAAAAACCTAATCACGAGCCTATCGGAGTTGATCGAGATCAGGTATTCCTTGATCGCAGGTTTCATACTATTTCCAGAAGTGAAATTGCTCAGAGCTACGAATCCGTCGATCAAGACGTGAAATTGAGCGTCAATGGAGTCGAATCGGAAGGAATTGAGGTTGTAGAAATGGAAGCGTACCATGTGAGTTCCTTTCTCTCTGATCTCGAACTCGTACTTCGATGGCCGCCTGAAAACCCTAGCGGAGTCGTAGAGTTGAGGCGAATCCAACAAGGCGTTGTCGTTTCTGAGGGAAACGGAGGAATCCGAGTGGCAGAACGGAGATTTCCTCCTGGAGGAGCCGTCGGCGACGAAGCGGCGGTTGTCGACGGTGGCGTCCTCGGCGGAGCCGCAGTTGACGAGGTGGTTATCGACGGGAGAGAAGGCGGTGAAGGAGAGGGAAGGAGGTACGGAGAGAGAGAGAAGGAGGAGGAGAGAGAGTACGAGGTTTCTGTTGCGAAACTCCATTAGAGAGAGAGAGAGAGTTGTTTCAAAGTGAAGAATGGGATTTGGGATTGAGGAAGAAAGGAAGAGAAAAAGGAAGTACGAGTCAACTCGGGAGAGGAGACTCGGAGATCTGGGTTGTGGGGTCCACGCGCTAGGAATATTTTGCATTTACAGGCTGGGAGTGGGAAGGAAAAGCACAACTATCTGGACGAATGACGATGATGTTCGCGCGATTGTGATCTAAGCGCGTAGACGTAGTCCTTGATGATCCAGTACAGACGACGATTCTTAGGATGTCGTTTTGCAATCATACCTCAGAGACTGACCACTATTCGTTCTCTGATTCAAATTATGATTTATAATTCGTTATAATATTTTCTCTCATAAAAAATACACATAAATTAAAAATAATACTAATCTCATAATTCTAATTCATTAACCAAATGAGCTCTAAGAAATTCACCTTCATCTTCACCTTCGAGAGGGAAAAAAAAAAAAAAGGAATTCACGCTTCGAGGATTTATCCGCGCTTTCAATCTGGATTGTATTTATATTTGGGATAAAATCAGAGTAATCTCTCTTATCGTCACACATATTCTTAATATTTTACTTTTTTTATAATATTTAAAATAGTATCCTAAAATTTTAAAAAAAAATTTAGGTACCTTAAAATTAATTTTTAAGATATATAGGGCTTGTTCTTTTAGAGTTTAACTTGAGTATAATTCTTGAGTTGAATTTGAGTTATAACTTGAGTTGAACTTGTAACTTGAGTTTATGTTTAGTTGTGTACATTTGAGTTATGGTTTGAGATAAGAATCTTTTTTAGTTTGTTCCGTTTAGTTCGCTGATTCGAGTTTTTAATTCGAGTTGAGATGTGATTTTATGTGAGAGCTTTTTACTGTAGTAAAAAAGTTAGATGTGATTCTTTGTAATAACTTTTTACTGTAGCAAAACTCAAATTTTAAACTCGAATCAGAGAAATGAACGGGGCCCGTCAAAACTTGAATTTGTATTTAAATAGTATTTTAATAAAAACTCAATGCTGATGAAAAATTTTTATAGGGTATATGGGTCGGGTTTTATTTGTCTTTTCATTGTCAATGCATAGAAAAAAAAAATCATCTCAATTAGAATTAAAACAAAAAAGTTATAGCATTTTTCAGAATAAAAAAAATAATGTTCATTAATTTGAGTTCGAGTTTCTGAACTCGAGTTGAAGGGGAAACTTGAACTCGAGTTTTAGTCCTAAACTCGAGTTTGAACTCGAGTTTAAACTTAAAAGAACATGAACTCGAATAAAGTTATAACTTGAGTTACCTTTTTTTTGAGTTTTTCACTCAAACGAATAAGCCCATAATGTCTAAACTATCATTCTTATCAATTAAATAAAAAAATATTTTAAAAAAATCTAAAAATATTATAAAATATTTAAATATTTATAAGAAAATAACAAGAAGTTCATGTTTTTTTCCTAAATATATTAGTTTTTAATTAACTAAATAAAAGGATATCAATGTCATTTTACATCTCAAAAATCAGTTTAGGGTACTAAAAGATTTTTTTAAAAAACGTCAAGATACCGTTTTAATATTATTAAAAAAATAAAATACCAATAGCATGTTTCGTCGTAATACATAGTATCAAATTGATTTTATCCTTTTATATTTTATGGAGGCCAGATTGATGAGGGTAGGTGCCGGAGTTAAAATATTCAAATATTGAAACGACAATGTCTTGGTTAGCAGAAATGATAGCGTTTTATGAAAATGAAGGTAAAAAAGAAGCAGCATTGTTTATTACTTGATTGAAACATTAGAGAATCAAACTCATCATGAGATCGAAAATTCAGAGAGCAGAATAAGAACAAATCAGCAGACCGAAAATTTGTGTTGTAGAATCTTTGAGTGCATTAGAAATAAATTGAGTAAGTAAATGTAAGGAGCTAGAGCAAAAAACTCGCTCCATTGTTTATATTATTTTTAAATTCAAACTAAAAAAAAATAGACAAACAAAAGATAATGTAACATTGTTACTACTGGCCTAGAAGCAATTGAAACTGAAATCTTGGTTAGGTGACAAGTTTCATTTTGGAGCTGTTTTAGGCACATAAATCCTAAATTCAAACAAATAAAGTTTTTCTTAGTATAGTTTCTTCTGGTGCATGCACCTCATGTTCTACAGGTTTTCTACCAACTTTTTCTGGGGTGAATAGTAGTCCTAACTTGAGGGTGCGTTTGATTGGAAGAAAGGAAAGCAATGGAATATAATGTAATCCAAATATGATGTTTGTTTGGATTTATAAAAAAGAATAGATATTAAAAAAGAATAACCATTCATCCATTTTAAGTAAATCATCATTCCTTGACATTCCAAGCTCTTTTTCTCTTTTTTTTTCTATAATTACACTTGAATATTATAATATAATATAATTATAGTAATATAATAATGTAATAACATGATATAATATAATATAGTTGTTACTATACCTCCACTATTATCTATTATATTGTATTACACATTATAATTAAAATAATGTATTAATTATAATATATTTATTTAATATTTTATAATAATATATTACATTTTATAATGTAATGATATCTTATAATATAATATATAATAATATTACAATATAATATATATAATTATATAATAATATAATATAGTTGTAATATTGTAACAAATAATATTATAATTATATTATTATTAATATTATAATTATAATTATATTATATTATATTAATACAATTATGTTATATTATATTAATAA